AGAAATGATCACAGAAAATGATTCTATTGCGTAGTGCAATTAATATAATGAGACGATGATGTCGTTGTGTTGAGCCTGCCACGTTCAGGTGTCATTGGAACCCCACCCGCTTGACGGTACTTGTCCCACAGTCGAGAAGTTACATTTTTTTTATTTGCGAACCATTCGGGCGACCTGGCGTATTTACGTCCCCTCCCTGTCGTACTCACAGTTCGAATTCTGTCTGTTCACTGAGAAACTGTATCGAAGGCATTTGAAGCGTGTGCTCAGCTCATTTGTATTAGTGATTGTGAGTTCACCTCACATACTTCGGCTTCTGTGTGCACTTGCATCACCTGCTGTTCATGCATGATCTGAAATTTATTGTGATTAGATGCAACGCCACGGTATAATTGTAAAATGTACACCTCAGCGATAGCTACACTAAAAATGATTAGTTCCCTTTTTCTAGTCGGTAGTCGGTCGTGTGTCTACGCAAATTGAAAAAAGCGCCATACGACTCTTGCAGAAAAGTAGTTTGGTCAGGGTTACACGATCCAAGTCATTGGTAAAGCGTTCCAAAAGTTTTAACTTAGATATGCGGAGACATTTCCAAATTTGAAGCATCAGTGACCAAAATGATGTCCGATGTTATTCCATATTTTGACTTGCATCATTACGTTCCCGTCTTTGTTCGAGTGAACTCTTGGCCTTTCAGGTGTTTGTGACGGGTGCCATTGATGGGGCAGGATATATTCACGTGATAAACACCAACATATGATACAATCGGAATCTTACAATGGACACTGCATTGAGCGACTATTTCTAATGGTTATTGAAAGAATTTTGAAGCTTTTATCGAGATACTTGGTCTTGTTATGTGAACTGAACTGTGAGTATTTACAAATATCTTTTTTTCATACTTGCGTGGTCAATATAGTCACACAGTGTCTTCGTGTTCCTTTAAACCAAACCCTTCCTGTAAGTATTGAAAAATAATTGTCATTTCTCTCAGGTTCATGGTGGGACGTTGACATGATTCACCCATGTATTTACAATGTCATCAGGACGTAGTCCTGTATCAACATGGTGTAGGCGTGTACCGTGTATATGTTGCATTTCCATGGCAATGCCATTTGACTTCGAGTTCGAATGATGAATTATCTCCTACGAGGCGTAACTGCTGCGAAAGTAGAGCGTTTCTATTTAGAGGAACACCTGACCGGAATCATGAACATCAGTGAGTTTTCCGTAATGACAATCCTATCTGCGTGGAAAGTAATTATAGTACTAATACCATGTTGTGAAACCTTTATAAGAAATCAATGTATTTCAGCCTGCTGCATTTGTCCTTGTGGTCTAAACATACTTCTTACATTGACGTGAACTAAATATACTCTTTCACGTTGAGGCGCACGAAAATTACTTCTTACAATGATGTGAACAAAATATACTGTCTCTTTGACATTGACGCGAATCAAAATTGACGCAAATTAAATGTATATCACCGACAAAAAATAGAGGAACTGATGAAATGATACTGTAGGTACAATGACGATGAAGGTTTGAAAAATGAATTTCGGGGGTTGGAGATCTATATTTGGTGTGTTTACAATGTTGGGACTTATGGCATATTGTTGATTAACTTGCATGTGGTTGCCCGAAGTACTGTCCGCCATTCCGCCTGAAGAGCTATCCCAAGCTGGGCTACAATGTTGAGTGCTGGGCCTCTAGCGTATACTCTTCGCCCGAGAACATATCACAGATGCTCTATTTGTCCGGGGACATAGCGGGCAAGTCCAATGTCCGTATAGCCTTCTCGTCGAGGAAACTCGGTGACGACCTGGGCACGCTGTGGTCTTGCATTGTCATTTTGAAGTTCAAAATCTACCAATAATTCAAGCGAATTGAACAACGACAGGATGAAAAATTTCGTTAACAAATCGCTGGCCAAATGTCCATTCACAATAACTAAATCAGATTTCCTGTCAAGTGTGATACCGCCACACACCACGACACCATCACCCCCACAACGAACATAGTCATGAATTGTTGCCCTGGCTTATCGCTCGCCACTACGACGCCAACAAAGTTTTCTGCCATCTGTGAATCGGAGGCAAAACATTGATTCTTCTGTAAACATGGTGTAACCCCAATCTTTGCTGCCAAATTGAGCTGTGAGGGTCACACCCTTCACATATTTCGGGCTGGCTGAATAGAGCCGGTTTTTAACCGGGATGTTGAAATTCGCATAGGAGCATATATGACTCTATTGCGTAGTGCAACTAATGTAATGAGTCAATATTGTCAAGGTGTCGTTTTTATAGGCGTACGACGGCAAGGTCTCATTGTAACCCCAGCCGGTACTTGTCCCGCAGTCGAGAAATTACACTTTTTGATTTGTGAAAAATTTGGGCAACTTGGGATACTGTCTCGGGGCGTGTTAAGCGTGTGCTTAGCTCAATTGCATTGGTGATTATGAGTTCCTCTATAGGTACACACACTTTGGCTTCTGTGTGCACTTGCATCACCTGTGGTCCATGCATGATTTGAAATGTCGTTTGGATTAGACACTGCGTTCAGATGAAACGCCACGGTTATGTAAATCTGCGCCTCTTTGATAGCTACATTCAATCATTAGTTCCCTTATCTTTCTCGGTAGTATACTGCTTACGTGACGTGAACTAAATGTACTTCTTACATTAACTTGAACTAAATATATATCTTCACTGACGCGAACTATATATACTCAATTACATTGACCCGAACTAAATATACTTCTTACATTGATATGAACTAAAAATACCTATTTACATTGATGCAAATAAACATAGCTTTACTTCTCATATTGACTAGATGTAATTATACTCCTATACACTGACGCGAACAATATGTACTTCTTACATAGATGTCAACTCAATACACTTTTTACATTGACCTGAATTAAATAATAGTTTATGTATCGTACATTGACGTGAACGAAATGTATTCATAAATTTACGTAATTTTCAAATAAACAGTCATGGAGAAAACTCTTCTTGATATCAACTCAATATACTTTTTACATTGACCTGAATTAAATAATTATAGTTTATGTATCGTACATTGACGCGAACTCAATATATTCTTACATGAACGAGAACTAAAAATTCTTCTTACACTGACAAAGCAAAAAGTATTCACTACGTTCCGCTCATGCTAGTATCCGTGTATCCAGCCCCACCGCACCGCCTTATTAATTGTCAGTACTACATTTTCTAGAGGTATTCTTTAAATTTCAAGTGTTAAAAATTCTATAATTTGAGAGCCTTGTACAGTTGATTTGAGTGCCTTCGCGTGAGACAGTGATTGACATCAATCTCTCTGATCAGGAAACGCCAATCATAACGGATCAATCTAATAGAGATGCAATCGCTTCCAATAAACACCGTTTACCGGATCTTTGTGTCAGTAGAATTAACAGATTGCGATTTTCAGAAAAAAATGTTTGTTTTTTAACTTGTTTTATAAGTCCGTGCTAAAGTTACTAAAGAACGTGTATGAACTATTTGTGTTCATAACTTTAAGTGTGTTCTGTTAGTGTACCACACATTTCAAGTAAATGCATTTTGAGGATAAATGATAATGCATTTTGATGATAAATGTTATTATATAATACAGTATTATGAGATGACAATAGAACCAACATAAATTAAGTCATTTGAATAAATTCTGATTGTCCAACTGATTGTAAACTTAAGAATGTATTTTTAAAAATGATTAACTTTTTATGAAGTCATCACCTTGTATGATCAAAATTTGATAATGTTTCATAAAGACAAGCTCGTGATATTGTCGGAATCTTACAATGGACTCAAAATGAAGATTTCTCGTGATTATGGATTTTTTTCATCAGAATTCCGCGATACTAAACATGAACTCTCATGATGACAATTGATGTCGAAAGGAAACATAAATACACATATAGTCATGAAATCTATGATATAACATGCATACGTTTTCCCTTGTATAGCAAACGTAATACAAGTTAAAAGCTTTCATCGTACGTTTCATTATCTCGTTGAGGCATTTCGAAGGACAATCACCTACTTCAGTCAGTATTCTGTGTCTGAGAGGGGTATCCATATTAAACTGCGGCACAGTATCTCAGTGTGCTTGCGCGATGAAAACGGCACTGGTCCGGACTGGTATAAGCAGCCACACTCACGTACACACACAGACATTATAAGTGCAGCAATCTTGAACGCGACGTTAAACGCCATTTCACCTCACCTAACTTAATTTAACATAACAGAGACCCTGATGGAACCTGAGGAAAATGACGAATACAATATATATGCTTCTTCCTATGACGGCAAATGACGAATACAATATATATATATGCTTCCTACTATGGCGGCACATGACGAATACAATATATATGCTTCCTAGTATGATAGCAAATGACGAATACAATATATATGCTTCCTACTATGACAGCAAATGACGAATACAATATATATGCTTCTTCCTATGACAGCAAATGACGAATACAATATATATGCTTCCTAGTATGATAGCAAATGACGAATACAATAAATATGCTTCCTAGTATGATAGCAAATGACGAATACAATATATATGCTTCCTACTATGACAGCAAATGACGAATACAATATATATGCTTCCTACTATGATAGCAAATGACGAATACAATATATATGCTTCCTACTATGACAGCAAATGACGAATACAATATATATGCTTCCTACTATGATAGCAAATGACGAATACAATATATATGCTTCCTACTATGATAGCAAATGACGAATACAATATATATGCTTCCTACTATGACGGCAAATGACGAATACAATATATATGCTTCCTAGTATGACGGCAAATGACGAATACACTATATATGCTTCCTACTATGACAGCAAATGACGAACACATAACATTGTCCTCTTTGGCTTTAAACGCCCTCTTGTTCTTTTTTCTTGACACGATAAACCTTTTTTTAAATAAACGCGAATTCTCACCTGTTTAGGATATAGAGAAGGGTTTTCCTGGAGGTATCCACGGTTCGTGGTTTAGAGCCCCCTAGGCAGAACATAAGGATGGAACCATGACGTTGCTCACGTCGTCTTGGACACCTGTAACTAAGGCAGAGCTGGTCATCTCACATCCTCCATACAACATATCTCCAGTACATTGTGTATCCAGGCACTGCTCTTCTTAATAAAACTGTTTCATTATAGAGAGTAGAACAGTTGTTTCCAGAAATACGATGAACCACTCTTATGTTTTCCAGTTTATAGAAAGACTAAACTTTCGTTTCTTCATTTAATTAAAGTTGGAAAGTCCTTCAGAAGTGTTTATCCAGTGGAAAGTAGAAGATAAGTGTCGGATTGGTCCCTGACCAGGTATAAGTGTCGCTCTTTCCAATCTGTTCTTTAATGTTGCGGATGTGTAGCAACTGTTTTGACACAACTGTGTTGAGCGACACTCCAGGAAACCCAAGTGGTCTAGACGTTACCAATTAGTACAACCTTGATCCTCTCAGGAATATAGACACTGGCATACAATTAAAGCTAAGTCAAAAGTGTATGCTTCTTGGGGGTACAAGGACAAACACTGTTAGCCCCACACCTCCATCCGAAGCGATACTAATTTGCTTAATAGTCGCAATTAAAAATCCAAAGCCCATTGATAGCAGGAAAGACTTAAAAGTAAAAGTTCCATGAGAAACCAAGGTATATCCGACTAGATCCAAATACCACGGAATCTGCAGCACAATCCATCGGTTGTTTGAAACAGTCGAACAACACGACTAGTAAATGATGGCCAATCTGTGAAGGTGTATCGCCCTACCGACGCACCACTCCAGCTTCAGGTGCACCGGGAAAACGCTTGCTGAATCGATGCTTGCCTTTCGTCGGTCTCTGAACGACTGAGAGCTAACACGGCTCCTCATTTGCCGGAGCCTGGCGACCGCATCTACGAATATTGACGGCGGCAATGACGGCGACAGAGGGAACCTCCGAAGCATACCTCTCTCTTGACGACCACGAAGACTATGGACCTGAGTTGGCCGATCAACTCAGTAAACATGGAGAGTCGGTTGCCAATGTGGCCAATGTGCTGATTTGTATTACTTGCGTTGCCAGGGTTGACGAAGAAACTTTTTAATGAATCGTTTATGGCCTCTTGTCCAAAGGGCAATGGGTTTCGAGGAGTGAAAACATTAAACAGTTAATATCCATGAGTGTTATATGACTGTAGAGACCGGGTGGGGTTGGCAGACCTTGATGTATGTAATCATTTGTTGGGCGTCTTGGGTTAATATCATTATGTAAACATATCGAACAAGGACCAACAGCATGCACTAGGTTAGATTTTGGACAAGTTTCTAAAGAAACCGAACGTACAAATATCCTGAAGATTGCAGAGTCGATAATTTCTTATCACGTTTTCAAATATGTGTGTGCTTGTGGTGCTTTTTGATTTTTTACGCCCCTTGGGGATTTCTGGTTAGAATTGGTTTCCAAACAACTATTATCGCCTTAAGAGGACACCCAAATTCATATGGTGGTCAGGCTCGGGGACTGAGATGATTACGCCTCATCTTATCCCGACCAGCGTCGGACAGTGCTCATCATATGAACCACTTGTTTGTCTATGTCAGATCGGATATTTTCAGGCCGCCGTAATCTGTAATACAGCTGGAGTATGCTGAAGATGTGGACAAAACAACATTCACTCACTCACTGACTACATTTATACACATCTATGGTTATGAATGGCTGGTCATTGCTACAACATTCTTATCACGGTCATAATGTGTTAAAGACACTGTTTGTGTGTTCTAATTGTTACAACGTAAAATCTGGTGCTCAAATGTAGTTTTCTTCTTTAACGTCCCACATTGTTTGTTTGTTTTTTTGTATAACCCCACACCCAGCAATATACCAGCTATTTGACGGTGGTCTGTAAATAATCGAGTCTGGACCAGACAATCCAGTGATTGACATCATGAGCATCGATCTGGTCCCACATTGTTTTCCAATATAATTAAACCAACAAGTTCATGTACATCTGACTATAATCAGATGTTACCATGAACATAATAAAATACCAATCTGTTTCCTATGAGTTATCAAGAAAAATAACTACACTGCCGGACAAAGGAAAGTATACACCCATGTTAAATGGTGGATAGAAATGAAAAAGAACCCAAGAAATGGTTATCCGATGGTCATGTATTTGATACGGGTTTCATAGTTGTGTTTCGGACCTTGAGCTGCAGTGTTTCGGCCACTGTTTTCAGCCTAGTAGGGGCGGTCGGGTAGCCTAGTGGTTAAAGCGTTCGCTCGTGACGCCGAAGACGCGGGTTCGATTCCCGACATGGGTACAATGAGTGAAGCCCGTTTCTGGTGTCCCCCGCCGTGATATTGCTGGAATATTGCTAAAAGCGGCGTAAAACCATACTCACTCACTGACTCAGCCTAGTAACGTCTTGAAAACGTTTGTAATGTTTTGGTCAAATCCAATTTTTCAAGTGTATACTTTCTTTGACCAGGCGAGCTAAGTATATGTTTATAGGTTTTCTTAGGTCAGCTTGTACATGTGAAAGCTAACCATCACAGTGTCTTGATATACATCCAGTAACTTCATCCTTGGAACGGCAAATATTACAACGTTATAAATACTCTCCCGGTTCTCTGTTACCCGACAAACCGATGGTTTCAGGAAAGGGCAACACTCTATGTAGCTATAACGACTATTTTGATTTCATAATTATTTATTCTATTAGATTTTAGAAGCGTAGTGACAGCCTAGTGGTTCAAACGTGGTTTCGTCGTTCCGTAAACCGCGGTTCGTTTCCCTATCAGTAAGCATGTCCTGCATTTCCGTCATAAAACTATTTAGGGCCATAAAAAAATATACAGCTTGATGTCGACATTTTCAAAGAGCTGCGAGTTATACGGTTTCATAACAAGGGCCGCCGTAGTGCTAAAATGAGTTCTTGGGACAAGCAATATCGGAAATATCGGAAATATCAATGGCAGCAGTGGAGGTGAATGCTTTACAGGACCACCCCATTTAGGACATTTTCGAAGGTTTCTCTCATAAATCGAGTCTGGAACAGACAATCAAGTGATTGGCATCATGAGCATCGGTCTACGAACTGAGATACGATATCATCCATCAACAGAGTCAGCGAGACTGACGACCCGATCACGTTAGTCACCTCATAACCAGCATCGTCACGGGGAGCAGTAGCGCAACGGCTGAACTATCCAGAAAGTAACACAATTAACACGTGGTGCAAAATAACAGTACAAATAATGAAACATATGTCTTGTATTCCGCCGCATGTTTAAAAGGTTATTTTATTCATCAGCAAACATAGACAAGCTGGCACCATGACCATACCCATGAAGACGTTAATGTCATCACATACTTCGTAGGTCGCACTTTCGAGTGAGGGGCGGTCGCGGTGGAGTAGAATAGTGGTAAAAGCGTTCACCCCAAGGGGCGGGTTCCATTCCCTATATTTGTGGAATGTGTGGTCATATTGGTTTCCCACGACACGATAATGGACTGTTTTCAAAGCAGCGTAAAACATCACTCGCAGATTCTCATATTCAAAATTCGGTTTGTACGCAGAAAGAAATTAACTATTATTGATTATTTTGGCACACCCATATAGACCCACAAACCCATATGAACAATAAAAAATTGTCTTATTCTTTCCTCTGTCGACAACCTCCGTGGTCTAGTGGTAGAGCGTCCACCTGGAGAGCGGAAGGTTCAGGGTTCGAGCCCCGGCCGCGTCATACCAAAAGACGTTGTAAGATGGTACTTGTTGTAACCCTGTCTGGCGCTCGGCATTAAGGAGCTAAAACAAGGACTGGTCGGCCCGGAGTCGGTATTCTGTGTCTGAGTGGGGTATTCATGTTAAACTGCTACACGGTGTCTCAGTGTGCTAGCACTATTAATCAGTCCGGACTAGTACAAGAAAAACTGTCCGGTTCTTATAATGATGTAACAACAAATCCCGAACTGGATGTGGAGACAATAACACTTTGTGGTGGATAGTATGAACTTTATCAGTGACATTGAGAGTCGAAAGAAGTGGCCAAAGCATCGCTGCTCTCGGTTTGGTACATCATGCAAAAGGATGGACCTCCAGGACAGGCCAGGTTTATTGTGAAGCTGTAACAATTAGTCACTAGGAATATGCAGATAATCACGTAAGAGAACGCATATAAGAACTGGGTGGCCAATGTTCCCGGTTTGGACCCTTGTCTCTAGCTGACGCCTCCCTGCTGACGTAGCCAACGTCATGCACGATGAGCGCTGTCCGCCTGCTCTTGTGGCTGGTCTCCATGTCTGACCAGCCGATCAAGTATCAAGGGGTATTCCATAACGAGAAACGTCCGTTTTTGTTTATTGATTAACGCTGAACTCGGAAGTATTCAAGCCATGTGACGGCGGTCTGTAAATAATGAAGACCAAATAATCCAGTGATTGACATCCTGAGGACCGATCCACGAAATTGACATGCGATGACATGCAATGAACCAATTCACCGAATCTGAGCACTGGAACTATTTGGTCGCTTCAACTCTAGGTTGTCACTGGTCAACAGATCCGTGAAGAATCCGGGGTAGTATAGGTCGTCAGCGACCCATGCTTGCTGTAAAAGGCGACTATGCTTGTTGTAACAGGCGATTAACGGGATCGGGTGGTCAGGCTCGCTGACTTGGTTGATGCATATCATCGTATCCCAATTGCGGGGATCGATGCTCATGATTTCAAACACAGGATTGTCTGGTCCAGACTTGATTATTTACAGACCAGCGTCATAGAGCTGGAATATTGCTGAGTGCGGCGTTAAACAACAAACAACAGCAACACTGGTCAACAAAGTCAGAGACCAACGTAACAAGGTCAGTGACCGGCGACGTGCTGGGGTATTCATTACAATGTGACAATAACGCTATGGAGTTGCTAACCCATCTTACAGCTATAGCAGCCTCATATAATTACGAACTGGGAAGGCTAAATGAACAATACAGGGATGTAGAGTGCTGCATGCGTGGCGGAAATGGACAAAACGGTCTCCACGTTGTGTCCAGCGGAGAATACGTATCACAAGAGTTATTAGTGCGTGGGCGGACCCAACGCAAACACGTTCCCTTCCACGGCATTGTATTAATCAATCACCCCCTTCTCTGATGTTCACACAATTATCGTCACAGTGGGCATCATTTTGGACCATAATCAGTATTTACGTGACGTTATCTTTAAACACGATAAGTATGTCCTCATCAAACACATAATATATAACTTCTCTATTTCATGACTGAACTCGAACTCATGTGTTGTTAATAGGAATAACATTTTTGGTAACCAAAAGAAAATTTAATTATATTTAAGGTTTTTATAACTCATGGTATTTGCAATGACCTTGAAGCTATAGTCATTTGGTAAATCCGGCACAAATTAATGAAGATGAAAAAAATACTTTCAATATTTCAATTTATGTTCCAAATGTCATCTTTCCAAATTAAATTTATTATACATTTAGGGATTCTCCGAACAACAGCAGGATTTGTGTTGATACACCCCACACTATTCCTGTATAAGTGTTGCGCGAGTTGTGTTTAACTCTTGGACCATATTTTAGTCATTTCGCAGTATCTCAGTTTAACGCGGAAGGAAAGTGACGGCACGTTTGACAATTCAGTAATCGTGGATACAAATGGAGATGAAACTGGACTCGAACCCTCGACCAACGTAACCTGTCAGCGTCGGGTCGCAACTCTGCAAAGCAAGTTGCGACACCTTACTAAGCTGTGCCGCCCGCATACTACACCTCTTATCACACATCATCTAAGACCGCCTCCGTGGTCTAGTGGTAGAGCGTCCGCCCGGAGAGCGGAAGGTCGGAGGTTTCGATCCCTGGCCGCGTCATACCAAAAACGTTAAAAGATGGTACTTGTTGTTATACTGCCTCGCGTTCGGCTATAAGGGGCTAAAACA